TTTTATGACAGAAGTAAGACTTGCCATGTGAAAAGAATGTTTAAAAGAAGATATAATGATAAGCCAATCATTTAACAAAAAAGGGAAAGGCCAATCTCATGATGAAGCCTTTCTGGAGAGCTGTATCTCCTATGTTTTCCTTGCACTGGGAATGAGTCATAAATTTCATGATCCTTTCAGAACTGTGCCTACAATACAATATTTTAATTTCTTTGAATATTATACCTGTGACACTGCTGTGTGAGGTTTCATATTCTTAAGACAGGAGAAATTCCTCTCCTAAAATATCCTGTAATCTTACTGTTTTTATTCCTTGAACTGGAGCTAGCTGGCATGCCTGAAACATGTTTTACAATAAATTTTCCACTTCTATATAGCAAGGATAAATTTCTGATAAGTGAATGCTACTATTAAATCTAATTCCATGTGCTTCTATTTTCAACACGGATTATTAGATATTAACATTTCAATTGTTTATAAGTTTACAGTAAGAATAATGTACCGTTCTTATGGACAGAAGTGTCTAGGGGTAAGAGGTTTGGAGCGACAGAGAAATAAATTAGACTCACGCAACTGGAAGACAAACTTCTGGGGATGAAATCCCTTCTTCAAGGACACGTGGTTTGTGTGTCCAAATTTTTCCGATTGCATTGGTTATTCTAAAATAAGTTTTTACTTCTATCTACAAACCCTAATTTTATAATTACATTTTTGAAAGCTGCATACACTTTTCCTTAGCTCTTTCACAGAGATTTTGTTTTGCAATCTAGTAATAAGACGTTTTAGTTCGACAATTTAGAAGCATACAGTTCTGTATCCTACAAATCCCAAAAGCTCGTGAGATTCTTCTAGAGCACTCTAAATACACTGTGTATCAAAGACTAAAAGAACAAGTGTTATTTTTATTTAAATAACTGCACAGCAAGACAAACGAACAATGCAACTTCTTTTGGAGCCTGTCAGGTAAGATCCCAAGTCTGAAGTTCTGATTTGTGATGACTTTTCAAATGAAAAATATTCACTAACTGCAATGAATATGGAAAGATTTTTATTCCCAATACAGCAATGTGAAAGAAGCCAAATCATCTGTCATTCACCTTAATTTAATTACATGGCCACATTCAATTATCCAATATAATATGCAAATGAACTGAGTTGACAGCACATGCTAATTATATTCATTATAATAATTAAATCAAACAATGAAAGGGAATAAAAATGTAATGAATTAGAAGAATATTTTTAATTAACAAGCACATTTTAATTAGAAACTGTAATCCCATAGTCTGATAGAGAATGATTGGCTTATTCGAAGATTGGACATTATTTTTATTATGCAGTTTAGTTTCACATGTCTATCCCTAGTATCATGGGACCTGTTTTCCTACGCTAATAGATTAAATGGTGGCCAGAAAAAGAGAACCAGTTTCCTCGATCGTACTTCATGCAAAGCAGATGCCTAATAAAGCCGAGCTCAGCTACAACATGATTACAGAATCCCGTCTCGTGAAACAAAGGCTGTCTAACTCTGTAGTAAACAAAAGTTCACGTGCCGATACAAAACAGACAGTGCAGTTTAGGCCTGACTAATGATGTTAAAGCATTTAAAATATTAAAGAAACACTCCTTGCTTTTTGAAATTTTCAGTTTCATAACTGATTTATTTCTTCAGTGACAGCAGCTGCCCTGAAAAAGCTTTATGAATGTTAAAATACGAAAAAAGGAAAGGAATATTACTAATATATTATATGTGGGCAGAGTCAGCAAAATCATAGTCTTTTTAAAATAAACAGAGCAAGCACTATCAAAACACTTAGGAATGCGTTCCTTAGGAGTCCACTGTCCTCATCGCTCCTCGACAGAATCACTCGGGCCTGGACCAAAAGCCAACCGTGGTGAGAACACTAACTGGGACCCCAGCCACCGTCTGTGTGTGAGCAGGACCCACCGCGGGGCCCTCCTCGTATTTGGGGCTCCTGGAAACTGCAGTGAAATATGAATCTCAAAGATATACAAGAGAAAAGAACTTTCCTTTTTCATTTGCCACTCGACTAAAAGCAGAGCATTACAGATAGTGTAATAAGACCAGACAAACCTAGATGACATTAAATGACTGGCATATGATGCTCTTGGAAGATTTTCTGCTACGAATGTGAAATATTTAGGAAATTGCCCTTTTATTATTTTGACTGCATGGTGGCAATAATTCACTTACTTAAATCACAGTACTACTACAGAAGGTCAATGGTGAGGTTGACAGGCTGTAAAATTTCCTTTTTAGAAATCTATCTATTCTCCAAACTGGGAAACTGCAATTTTTTTTTAGTAATTCATGCCGTTTTTTCTTTATTCCAGTACACTGTTTTGGATATTTATCTGATCATGTGGGTAGACAATGGAATCAGAAAAGGCACACCAAAAACTCCAAGTAACAATTCATTCCTTTTTCTGAGAGTTGAAAGGAATGAAAACATATAAAGGTTTATAATAAGGAATAAAAAGTTAGAGAGGAAAAGGCTTATTTAAACTACAAACGTTTCAAAACAAATGTACATTTCACTGCAAGAATAATGCAAATCTGCTTTGAAATACGTCAGTTATTGACTCTTTTAAAGTTTGTTCAAATACTAAATAAATTTCCGCAGGCTCTGTGGAAATTTGTTTTCATAGTCCAAGCCTGGTATATCTATTTTTATTATGCTGTTCTTTCCAGGAGTTCAAGCCTACTATTTGAAAGCTTTCACTATGAGACCAGTTTTTTATTTTTAGTAGGACTCTGCAGATGATCAACAAGGAAAGAAAAAAAATTGGAAGCTCGTAACATAGTAAAAAATTAAACTATAACTGAATGAAGAGAAAGCACTTCCCTTTTCATGAAAGGCATCATGTCTTCATTGGAAGTCACAACACTAACAGCAACTGAAAATAACAACCGTAAGCAAATCTCACTGCCTGCCTAGTAACAAAAGGAAAAATACTTTCTTTTACTAAAAAAAAAAACAAAAAAACAAAAAACAACACAACCCTCCCCGCATTTTGCAAGGACCTGAGTAAGCAACACTTCCGTTTTTCAAAATGTTTTTTTAAACAAAGAAAACACAAACCAAACCAAGATGCTGGTTCCTCAGTTAAAAGCTTATCAAATAGGATTATCAGAAATTAAATAAAAAGTTATGCCCGTCATGACACCTCTTGAGATAGTACCACCAAAGCAAACCACCATAAAAGACTGCTGTTAGTGTACGAAAAGTACTAAAATACCACTGTTGTTTTACCAAAGACCTAAACTTCTCTCTCAGAGCTGCAGCAGCTACCTTTTCATCTTGAAAATTAAATTGTTCTGGGGGTAGATTAGTGATGGCACATGCCCTCAACCCCAAGCGCACATGCTGAAGACTCCAAGACGCTGCAGAACCACCAGCCGGGAAGCATGCCCACAGACCAACGCATTAGGCACGTACTTAGTCTCTCGGCTGCCTGCCGGCAGCCCCCGTAGCCAGCTGCCGCCATGGCACAGTGCCTGCTCGCCACGGTCGGACCTTCGCCCCAGGGCATGAGCACTAAACAGCGACAGGCGCTACGGACTAACCGACAGCGCTGGTAGGAAATCCCTCTTCTGCGCTATTTCTGGCACGTTTATAGTTGGAAGTCCTCCGTGCAATGAATCACATCTGTTTATACTTGTGTGCCAGAAAAGACATTTTTAAACTGCAGAGAAAAGACAACATTGTTTGCTGGCACTTCTGGGTGCCCGCACAGCCCGTTGTGTAGCAGTGGGAATCGGAAAATGGCAGCAATATCACATGGATTTTCAAAACAATCGTATTAAAAAGCGTCGCCCACAGTCAGGCCCAGACCCTGAGTGGGATTTGATTGCACAGGGTAAGAAGGCTGCAGGATCCTCCCTCCGACTGTGGCCAAAGCCACAGAAACATTACTATGTAATTACATTATATAATTATTATAATATTTCTGACAGCATTGTCAGCTTTAAGATATTATAATGTTCCAATTATAGTCAACAACTTTAAGAACGTTATTGGACAGCTTTTCTCTAAACCCTTGCTGACAAGTTGTAACGCTTCTTTCTTCTGCTCTTCAGCTTAACTGAGGGCACTAAGCTCCTCTCATCCCGAACCCCTACCCCAAAAGCTGAACACAGCCAGGAACCAGGTGTTACAAGTATGGAGAGAGCACAAAAGATGTAAGTTTACAAAATCCAGTGTTCAACTGACTCATACCAAAGATGTAGGCACCATAACACAGTTTCTACACATCCAGAGTCAGGTTCACATCCTCAACAATAAAGAGCCAGTGCAACTTCTGCCCTGCCCAGTTTACTCTGAGATGCTACATATAAGCTGAGGAAACTCAGGGATTTTAAGACTAAAATATTTGAAATAGTTTTGAAGTGCTGTGTCTGGGTTGTTTTATAAACTAGTATGAGAGGTCAGGGTCCACTGACAAAAAGTGGACAACAATCAAGGAAGCTATAGGGGAATTTCCACTGTTTGTTCAACAGAGTATTTGGTTTACTACTAAAAAGATGCAAGGAAAAGAATGGCTTAAACGAGCGCTCTGGCTACCAGGGAGGTGGCTACATTGGCATCTGAGGACATGTCTTCACGGCAGACGAGCTCACTTGGCTTTAGAAGGGTTTACTTGGGTACCACAGCCGTCTGATCAAATTGACACGAAGTTAACTTGGAATTAAAAATATCAGTTGCTAAATATATCTCGGCAGCAAGAAAGGCTAGTTGAAATCAAAGCAACGTCAGCATCATTGTCTGCACAAGAACATGGTGTTTGCTTACGGCTACATAATATTAATGTTTTTGTGTTAAGGTGCAACTTCAGTTTCTCTTTTGCAAACACATATATTTGTGCTCACAGGAATTCCAAGTGCTTCAAAAACAATGTTGAGAGGATTAGTTTTCTTGAGGGATCCATGACTAAATGTGCACTTGATAACTTCTGCTCCCATTTTCCATTTGCCTTACCTGATTATCTGTGTTGTTTACAGTAAAATAGCCCACACAAATAATGACTTCGTGTAGCAATCCTTCACACGTATGCTGGGAACAGTACCAGAGCAGAGAGCTGATAATATGCCGGAATGCAAGGGATAGTCCTTCAGCACCCACAATAGACTGAAAAAAAGGTCAAGAAACAGAAATTACAGTCTGGCAGTATGCTAGAGAAATTGTGTGAATTTCGTATACATCAATTGCACCTTTTTTTTTTTTTTTTTTTTTGGCAAAGTATTGACTACGTTCTTTGTTGTGGTGACTTTGGAGGAGGACAGAATCAGCCCTCTTCTTTCAGTAACTTACCCTGTACAACTGGACATAACATTAAAACCCACAAAAAAAAAAAAAAAATTCAAATTTTAAAGGGACACAGGAAAAATTGGATTCTGCTCAGTTGACATTCAGTGTAGCATAAGGTTGACCATTTCATTTGACATACATTACATGTTCCAGGAAAATTTAATGCTAATAATATTTCTTAGTAATAAGCAAAAGAAACCAAACCATCTTCATTTCTGCAAAAGAGCAAAACACATTTTCTCATTAATAACTTGTGCACTAAATGGAATACAAAGATTAATAACAAATAATGACTTTTCAAACATAAAAAAAAAGTTAGAAACATCCAAAAGGAGAGAACACTCAGCTGCAAAGCTTCTTGGGATGCTTTTTAAAAGTAGGCAAATTGCTCTAACGTGGAGATTCAGAATTAGATTTTATCTGCGCAGCCTACAGCCTCTATTTAATAAACATGTCAAACAGACAGAACGACACAAGGTCAAAGGGGAAAACTAAAGCACCAGGAATGAGCATGACAGTCTACTAACTCTAATGAAACAGCAATGCAGGCCTGTGAGAAAATCTCTTTCATTTGAGAGTTTTCTTGATTTTATACCTTGTAGCCCGCGTTAAGTACATATACATAAATCCCAGTCTGTAGTATAGTTTAGTTTTAGCATACTCTGCATCTACCCAGCGAAAGTGGAATCCTTGACAATTAAAACAGCCTCAGCTGTGGTTCCATCTTGAGCCACGAGCATTCTGGTAAGTTAGTTTCTTTTCAAAATTTAGCGTACAATACAGCCACCACTTACTGCTTTACATCATGTAAATGTCATGGGTTTAGGTCCACCCTTATTTAATTAGTCCTGTCCACGCATGCTGTGACCTAGCACTCTGGGTTTAACCTTTCCTGATAACAACAGGTCAAAGGGCACCTGAGTTTGTGTATAAAAGTTAAACTAATTTTTCAAGGAAACTATGCTTCCTTTTTAGCCAGAATTAATATCAGCTCAGGATCCTGCGTTGTTTCTCACTACCATCTTTCAATTGTTTAGACTGTCAAATTAAATGAAATATATACCCACGAGCCATCTGTGCTAATACAAACTCTAGAATACCAGACCTCTTCTGTTAATCAAAAAAACCCTATTCTAGAGTCCTACTATTACGTGATAAAACTATTCCTCAGAGATAATAATCAGACAGTACATAAAATACGCTTTTCCCCTCTGCTGTCTGCTAGCCTGCTACAGTCCACAAGGTCAGAATGGACAGCAAACTGCCTCAGGTGTACGTGGATTTTTTAACATTACAGAAACAAATCACATTAATGCACTGAAAGGGAGAGCTGTGCATCTGTCCCTCACAAACAACATTATGCCTACTATTCAGCAAGACGGCTAAGCGGATACTTCCTGAGCGGAGCCCTGCACGGAAGAACTGAACGAAATATTTCACACTGGTTTGTTTTCCACCCCCCTTTATGCAGTAATCACTATCTTGCACAATTTTACGCGGAACGAACTAATGCAGACCAGAGGATTTGGGAATTAATGCTGATGCCTTGTTACAAATGCTCAGATGCAAGGGTAGTTGGTGGAGGGATAAATACAGACAGCGTTAAGTAGAAACTTGTATTTTAAAAATTAATACTGGTTTCTTAAGATATCAGGGAGCAGCTCTTCAGCCCGTAAGATTTCCTATAGCTCCCCTAAAAGCTGTCCCAGTTCAAGTCTTACTCTCTGGCATATACCTGTAGTATCTACAGCAACAAATAAACACCCAGTCTCAATCCATTACCTAGTGAACAAGCTATAGAAGACAACTACCTTTGATACACTTTGATTTACAGAAAGAAAAGGGAGTTAACGGTGCACATAAGAGTTGTTTCACATGAAACTCCAATAAATGTACTGTTTCTGTGCCCCAGAAAAAACCCCACCACTCTGACTGGACTGGATTCTGCAACTGCATCTATACAGATGAGTGTTGCTACATGCAAATTGCTTATTGCTGTTATCAGAGATGCTAAATGTACTAAACAAAGTCAAGAAAAATGAACGGAAGGAGACTTATACTAAATTCTTTACTCATGCAAAGCTCTTGCTGAGTTTAATGCATTTCAGATGGAGCGTGTGGTACAACTTATATACAAATTACGTATTAAATGAGACAGAAACCCATGCTGATGAATTGTGTAAAATTGATGCTGCTAAATGTGTTTTGCAAAGCCATCCTTTTGGTCAGGTGTCTTACGTTAACAACGCAACGGCTTTGCCAATTTATCTGAGAAATATACTAGTATTTGTATTTTCTTTGTATGGCAAAATGATTCATTTACACTAGAAATCTGTTCACAGAAGGTGGCAAGAAAAGACTTACCTTCCCAAGACTCAATGTGATCTTTTTTGAGGTTTTTGGTGACTAAAAACTACGAAAAGTTAAATTTCCAATTTTTGGTCAGTAAAATTTTACTTGCATAAAAAAAATTTGCTATCAAGTGATTTTCAGCTTCAGTTCTACAATCTTAATGCAAGTGGCCACTGAAAGCACTGGAAAAACGTAAATTGTGGTTATAATATAAGCAAGTCCCTTCACATCAGAAAAACTCTTCTTTCATGCTTTTGACCAAGATTTTTTTTTTTACATTTTTGGGGCTTATTAAACATAACGTATATTATGCTGAAAGTGAGGTTCTTTGAACAGAAGTAGTAATGAATGGGATCCAGTCTTTTGCATAGTCCAAATTTTCACTTTTTGGTTAAATTCATTTGCCATAGCTATAACAGCAGAAATAAGAATAATTTGCAATTTTAAGCATGAAAAAAAAACCCCTAAATATTTAATCGTGAAAGTTCCTTCAATAACTAAGATCTTAAAGACAAAACTTAGTCCAAAAGTATATGCAATAAGTAACATTTTCATACTAAGCAAAAGTTTTGAAACATCTGTTACCTGAAAGGCAGGCAGATCAAGAATAGCAAAACTATTGAAGAAACGTAAACTCTGAATGGCAACCTGGACTGTGTTCGCTGCATAGCTGTCTTTAGGACTTGCTGTGTTTGGATCCGAAATTGTCCCGTGGAAAAGAACACAGTACAGCATATGCAAGACTCCAACCAGATCCGTAGACTGAAGAACTGCTGTTAGTCCTGTGGGGTCCTGACGTGTATTGTCAAATATGTTCCAAGATCTGTCAAAGAAACATTAAGCCGTCTGAGGAAGAGACCAGCACGCAGTGAGAACACTTGCCCAGGATGCAGTACTTCTAATAAGCCAAACCTTAGAAAACCAGTAAACTGCTAAAAAGGAAAAAGCCTGATGCCTAATGTGTCAAGAAACCACATTTCCAGAAAATGCTTTCAATAATCTGGGCAGCATCTCACGCCCTCTTTAATTGCCGTGCAGCTGTATCTTTAAATATCTCTCTCCACATACTGGTGTCTTTGCTCCCCAAATGGGTTCGCGATACCAGCGCGAGGCCGCGCAGAAACTCAGCAGCTTTAAAGCTGGAAGCCTGGGGGCACTTTAGGGGCTCCAAGCAAGCTCCGTCTCAGGTCAGTAGCCTACACCCATCTTTCTTTTGTGCAATAGCAGCCAGCAGAGGTGGGAGAACTCCCTGGAGCCTCTCGCTGCTGCAGTGACGGGCTGCAGGCACTGGAACAAAGTGCCTACCTAAGTAGCAAAATAAGTTACTAGGACCAGATGATCTTAATCAAATAGTTCTGCAGGAATTTAAGAATGAAGTGGTTGAGCAGTTAACAAAACACACGACTATTTATTTCAGTCAGATGTTATTACGGGAGACTGTACGGTAGCAAAGCACAAAGAAGCACGAAACGATCGAGACAAACCAGCATAGCTTGTGCAAATGGAAACTAGGTTTCTTCGGTATCCTTTGGGTAGGCACGTAAAATAATGGAGAAGGCTTTTGGCTACCTAGGATATCAGGACAGAGGGCTAAATAACTCGGGATGCCCTTTCCCTTCTCTCTCACACTCAAACTTTCAGAATCCCTCCATGATTTGTAAGGTTTCTGTTTTTTCACATTATTGATCGCCCAGAAGACGATGCAGGACAGTCACTACTAAGGAAGAGTAAGATTGTTTAACCTCCAGAGCAGTGACAATGTGTAGGAGGCAGGCAAATAAAAAGTAAAGCACAGAAAATAATTCAACAAGTTTTATATACTCTGAAATCACCTGAACTTCATTATGGAATACATTTAGTCTATACTGGCAATCAAAGGAAACACAAAAATATTAAGATACAGTGAACAGTAACACTGAAAATACGGTACACAAAAAGCTGGTCTTTGCCTCACCTACTATGTTTCCATCTTATGAAAAAAAAAGTGTCAATATCAAAAGAGACTAGAGAGATTGAGGCTATATATATATATATTTTTATAATTGAAGGAAAATACAACAGGTGATAGGAGAAAATGTTATAAAAAGACAAATTAGATGAAGGTATCCTTTCCTTCTGTAACAATTAAAAGCAAAGGGAACGGGAAAGCAGTGGAAACAAGAACCACTTTCTAAACCGATCTGTAACTGAAGACCTCAGCTGAATGCAGAAACGACTGGACACTGAGAGGGCTCAGTTGATCTGAACCAGCAAGGAGCTTTTCCTTGACTAGAACAGCTCTAAATGATCTTTTCAGTGCTGCATCAGAAGCACCCTGCACCCCTCTGTTACACATGTTGCTCTGCTCCAGTGAAGTTTCCAACACAGACCCCGGGTAGGCTGACTAATCCTGCTTTTTGTGGTACAGACGCTTGTCTTCAATGGAGCAACTAAACCACGCAATCAGCAACTTTCAGCCATCGTTGTCTTGTTCTGTCATTCTCACATCTTCTAGTGAAGCAAAAAAACAGGTAAGAAAGCACCACCTCACCCAACCCAAGGTCTGTCAACAAGAATTTCTATTTGTAACAGCACACCATTGCTTCCTTGGGCCAAAGACAGAGAAACAGGCAGAGCGGGATAACAAACCCGCATTCTCCACGTTCCAAAGAACGCCCCCACAAACCCCACAAGCTCCCGTTGTGCACCCCTGAGAGTTTGCACAGCTCCTGCGAGGAGGCTGCCATGCTGCAGGTGCAGGAGGGGAGATTTAGGAGGCTTAGGAAGGTTATTTTCACGCTCAGGCTAGGAAGTATCTCTGCACAGCCTTTGAGGGGTCTTCCTGCAGCCCTGAGCCCAGGTGAATTAGGATAGGACGCTATTTGGGTTGTATCCAACTTACTCTACTCGCATCCTTCCGCTGCCATCACTGTTCGCTCGCACCTTTACGTTTAGAAAGCATTTGCTCAGATGACTCACATCTGGTTTTTATCAGCTAGATCACACATGTAAGGAATGATCTTATCCGAAATTAGCATTTATGGGTTTCTTTCCCATTTCTTTCCAAGTTATTTCTGTTTACAGACTGTGAACATTCAATGCTACTGAAAAAGCTTTTAAGTACAGCATCCTCTGCTGCTACCTCAAGGATTAATGTCCCGGTCCTATTTCAGCGATACCTATGCTGTACAAAAAAAACCCCTGGAGACTGTATAATTACTTCACAGATCTTTAGGTAAGACACAGTGAGAACAAAAGCAGCGTAGCTGTGCCTATTTTCTAGTACCTGTGGTGTTACCAAGTGACTCCATGGCCATCAGTCACCATCGCACCCGCACTACGACTCTGCAAGTTAGCAGCAGAGAGTCAGCTGGAGACAAACGTGTCTGAGTTTACTGCACATGTTCCAAAACGGGGTGTGTGTTTAATACTGTAGGATTCTCTCAAAATACATGTAATAACATTCGAAAGATAAGCTGAAGTAAATTTAAAAAGATTATTTAAATTATGATTTGATGCCACTTACCTGCTGCAAAAGAAGAACCACAAACATTAAGCCAGTGGTTTGTAACACTCATAACGACCCTAACACTTACTCTGTAATGAATAAAAAAAAGTGGAAAAAATACTAGAGCTCTAAGTGTGTTTGGGTGGGGCTACGCTGCCCAACAATTTATGCCATTACTTTCCTTTTCCTACGTCTGGAATCCACGCTCAAAATCTTCATTTTTGAAGCTCTGTGGTCTTTAAGTGAGTGCGTTTGAATGGAGTCAGCCGAGACACTTCCCGAACCATCACCTTGGCCTTGCCAGCTGTGCCTTTACGCACATCCCTGCTGCAGACTTTCAAGTCGTGCTGGCACGTGAACCTGGCTGTAAGTGAGGAAGGAACCTGGATGGCTGCAGAAGGAGGCCGAGCTAACACAGCTCTGCAACCGCTGCCGTGCAACCTGGGTTTCTGCATCTGTGGACTCCTTAGTTTCTGATGGCCAATTATTTATTTTGCAGTATGCAGTAGCCAAAATGTGCTAACCGTCACTTAACTACACTCAAGTAACTAGAATGTTTATTTCCACAGTATCACATGAGAGCACAGCTCCTTCTGCCAGCTAATGTTTCTTAATTTCAATCATAGCTTTTCAACAGTACGAAACAGAAAAAAACACCACTCATGGTCAAATGATAACCCCAAATTAATTACTATATATGATACCTCACAGAATTTTTGGTGACTATATGAGATGAGAAGATTGACCAATTTTACCAAAGGTTAAAGTTAGCTTGCTTTCAACTCTCACTCCATCATTACTTTTAAACAATTCCATATGAAAAAGCTTACATTGCTGGATGAAATCCTTTTACCATTTTGTGCTGCTCTGGAACAGTGAATGAATCAAAATATACATAAAAAAGTCAATTGTAAAATAACTCCAAATGCAAGCATTATTTTTTTTTTCCCAGAAAAGACCAGGAATTTTAAAGGAAAAACTGTTAAAAAAAAAAAAAAAAAAAAAAAAAAAAAAATCTGTCTGCTAGGTTTGGTGGATCGAAGGAACTGTTAGAAACGTTTATTTTTGATGTTGCCTGTATTACAGTTCATGTGTATATGAACAGGCCACTGGCTCCTGTTGGTTTTAACTGTCAGTTATAATCACTTTAAGCCTAAATGTTTACAATAAAAAGGTAAAAGATGTTATTCATACTGGTTGTGGGCTTTAAAGTAGAAAAAACCGTATATGAAACGTTGGAAAATAAAGCACGAACCTTTGTGTATGCTGCTTTGAGTGATTTTGGTCAAGTCTGTATGACAATGGATTTCATACATTTAGCAGATTTTCAGTCCACCTCAAAGGTAAGCCCGGTGAAAATCCAGGGCTGTCAGCACACAGACTGAAGTAAAAACTCATAAAAATCAGAAAAACCAGAAGCTGACCAGAAGTCGTACAAGAAACCTAGGTTTTACGTAACTAATGTTAAGAGAGGGGATTCCTAAGGATGCACCTCCTTGTAATTGTCCTATTTAAAGCAGCTTACTTTCCAACTGTGTCTGTAACAGCTGCCAAAGTAAAACAGGCAGTATGGACAAAACTCCTTCAATTAATCACTGAAGGGAAGCAAGACTTACAGGATTTTTTATATTAGCTTATATAGCTGGGAAAACAGGTTTTCAAACTTTACCGAGTCTCTATATTTAACAGAGAAAAACAGGCAAATATTTACATAACGGTCAAACAACCTGCGGGATCTTAAAAAGAAAAGTTTAATAAATGCAGGGAATTTTCATTATGGGCTGCCGTTATGATTTTCAGCTTCTGCCATCAAGGAGTCTCAGGAATTGGTACAGAGTTTATGACTTACAAAAAAGGTTTAAGAATTTAAAAATACGGATATATCCATCCCAGGAAAGGAAGATACTAAACAGTGGTACTTCATTGCTTAAAATATACCACTATTTATTAAAAACAGGAATTCAATACAGCTTGATGAGAAACAGCATACTCTGCAGAACAAGTATAAAACTACAATTTCTCCAAGCTTCAATACGAGCAAACTGTTTATATGTGAAAATCTATTGTTTTAAAAACTGACTGAGCTAACAAGCAGACAAGCCTCTCTACGGGTATACATTAAAATGTTTGTATATTTGAAATATATACTTTTCATTAAAAACATGGAGCCAAATGGAAACATGAATTTTCAAAAGGCTTAGCATATAATCTGTTTGGTTTTTTAATTATTATTAGGATTTAAAAACTATCATCTGTACTTTTGCTTCTAAATTATTTTATTTAGAAAGAGATGTCAAAATAAAGAGAGAAAATAATAATAAAAGAAGTATAAAGAAGTATTTAGCACCTGTCAGACTTTGTTATAATTCACACTGTCAAGCTAGGAATCACAGTACCGTGTAAAAGCCATGACTTGAAACTTTTTAGTACTTTCAAGATCGAGTTTTAGTTAGTTTACAGTCTCCTTGCTGGATCTGCTGTCAGTTGGAAGTGGTGAGAAGCACAACCAGCGCTCAGGCAGACTTGCATCTGATTTGCCATCCAGCAGCCAAAACAGACATTATCTTAATTACTGTAATAAAACCAAAACCAGACCAGCCTACTTCCTTGCATATCTGTGACATGACAGTCACTATTTTCCTGGATCAAACCCTATATATCTGCAGCTTTCTGCCACTGCAGCTTGTAATCCACAGCTTCATTAGCTGTTGACACAGATTTATATGTATTCCACTACTGTTCTAAGATAACATATAACAATTTAGCTACTGTACTGCTATGACATTCTATTTTCCTAGATTGAGGGAGCTTGCAGACGTTTCTTACATCAAAAAACCAGCAAAATTTTGAAAAAGCTTATGTCTCAAGAAGCTACATGATTTGAGGGACTATTATTTGCAATATTCTCCTTATGCACAACTCACTTCCCTCCTTGTGTCTGTGTTATTGCTAGTCCACTGTACTGCTCTTCCTTGGCGATTAACGCTTACACTGCACTGCTGCTGCTCTTCTCGTCCTGCATTAACTCCATGGTTTAATTTCTTCATTCATAGTTCCCACAGAATGACTAGATTTGTCTTCCGGGAGTTCCAGTAATTTTAACTTGCATTTTAACCTCACACTTAGCAGCGCAGTGCATCCCGTACTGCAGCGGTGGGATACGCTTTGGCAGAAGCGTCAGGACGTACTACTAATGGGCAAAAGTAATATAAGGCATTAACAATTCTCCTCCATAGAATAACAACTAAGCTTCCTGGACAGAACACTCAGTTCCAGAGACTTATAGGGGAAAAAAGGGATATAGATTTGATGAACATCGGGTAGTAGAGGAGAAGACAGGAACAAAAGCAAGATCCTTGCTATGCTGATGAAGGATTTGCCATACATTTTCTTGGTCTTCACTCCTGCTTTTAGGGAAGGGTGAGCTGGGGCAGCATGGCCATATTTTTAGTAACGCTCCTTGCATTCCATGCCTGTTCATTGTTTTCTGTCTTGTGTTTACAAGCCAAGCATGCTCCCTCTGCGTATTCAGGACTCAAGGGCCCAAAATAGGCCTTGTATCTCTCGCAGTTACAGTAATAAACACTGGAAAACAAGGCTGTCGTCCTGAACATCGCTACTGGACATCTGAACTGGACACAAATTGCAATAACAGTAGTTTATATATAAACCACTGTTAGTCTGTATAAAGTCTATTTAATATTTTGCTTTATTTCAGGTTAATAATACTGGCTCTGTGTTCAATTCTGGCTACTGTTACCCTTACTGGTCAGCAAAAAACATCTGAGCATTACCATGGCCACAATTTTCAAGCCTAAGTATCAAATGTCAGGTTCATCTTTTGCTCAGCAAACAGAGATAGCTCGACATTCAGATGTGCTGCATTTTATGAATTCTCACTACAACAATATGGGACAATATCCTATTTTTGGCTCTCGTACACTTTTTTTTTAACTCATTCAGGAGAAAGGAGCTCTCACCTCCATTGCTATCAATGGATGGCACCCAGCAAAAGACAAATGGGACTTCCAGCTGGAGCTCTCAAGTCACCCTCACTCATTTTCACTGTATAACAGACGAGGGTATAAAAATTACCAAAACAAGGTTCACTTGGGGTTACAAGTTATTAATGTTTTCAACAAATGACTTTTATACATATTACAGTGTTTGGAAAATGTGCTATTACATCCACAGCAACACTTCAATTAAAAGAATCAATCTAGCATTTATTAGCCAGTACCAAAAATGATCATTTGAGAAGTAAGATCAATACCAAAGTTAAATCTTTTTAAAGACCTTGACCATTAATGAAAAGAAAATCCCTCTCTTATAATAAGATATGTTTATAACACATGTTCAGAATGGATTCCCTCATTTCAATAACTTTTTATGATGTTAAAATTGAGAATCCTCCAATTTATGTTCCTACATTAGCAAGACTTTCCTTTATTGTGTCTAACTCCATGATTTTGGACTTCTTTTTCCAAGTCTACCATGGGAATAAAAAAAAAGTATCTTAGTTTATGTCTTAAAATTTTATCATCTACATTATATCAACTATAGACTCATTTAATACTTAATGCTGAGATACACATATGATACAATTTGAGGCTGTCCTCTAATAATCATTATTATTGTGACATCTTGCCTGATGTAGAGGTAATGTGCAGGGAGGTACTTGACTGAGATCTCTTCCCTGTCTATAAATTGTTTTCCATGAAATACCTGTCCAAATAAGCACTGGGTATTAATTCAGAGCTGGGTTTAGAAACATTCCACTAAATTTGGGGAGTTTTATGAAATGTTCTTGTGAGGAAGACAGGAAAGTCTGGACTGACAGCTCTTCCTACACTGGAGCTCCACAAATGGCCTAACGTACTTTATGCCCACAGGACAGGATCTCCTCATTTTTTAAAACATGAGTTAGAGTATTTAACTTCTGGCCCTCTGGGGATATCGCGGACTACAGTTGCAGTCAAGTTCATAACAGTCTAGGGGTGTCTGAAAGCAAAGGAGGAGGAGCATCGCGCAGTGCTTGGCCACTTCTAGCTCATAAAGGATCTCATTGTTGCAGGCAGTGCGGATGGTTTGAGAGCCCTGCGGTGGTCCCAACGTGTTAGCCCCCCGGCGTCTGCTGGCCTGTCAGCTTCCCGCTATGCCACTCAGTGGCACAGAGTATACAGAACACCGTATAAAATTACTCCAATGCATTTAATATGGAATGACAACTTTTTATATGATAAATAACAGCCTGAAATAGTTCTATGAGAAAAAAATAAATTAAAGTTGTGCCCCTGACGATCACCATCGAGGAGTATAAAGAAATTTCCAACTGGAAACATCCTATATAGGGGGATACAATAACAGAACAAGTCAAAATCGCTCTTGCAACAATGGTGAAAGCCTGATACTATTTTGGCAAAACTTCTTTTCACGCTATAGTGTCAGAGCACTGGTAGTACTTACTAGACTTTTTTCCTCTCAGTAACCCCTTCAAAAGTATTGTGATTAGTTACTCTGACGTACAGAGGAGTACAGTACGGCACATTTGTTTGGTGCTCAAGCATGTATTAACCAAGTTGGAGAATGAGAAATGCTGGATTCTGACTGAATAGGCTGCACTGGCTCGTACTACTATTTACCCCGAATGAAAGAGGCATCTGTATTTCTCACAACGCGAGGCTGCCTTTTGTGCTGCAGATCATGTATCAAATGACATGTATTACCGCATTGTGACATATTTAAGAATTCAATAAATTTGAGCTCTGTTTCTGCCACCTTAATCTGCGTTTGGCATACCTTTTTCCATTTAAATCACCTCGAATACTAAGGACTTCTGTACTATGACAGAATTACACTCTGCATTCTCCTCTTAAATGAGAGTGGGCTCAGGTGATGAAAGACATTTAATTTAAACTGCCCTTCTAATCAGTTACACCAAAGCTTTTGATCTAAAAGTGAAAGACTACAGTTTCAAAATCTTGAAGTTCATTCCTCTCGTTTCTTTTCATGCTCAAATGAACAATCCAACCTGGAAATCAAGAACAATCAGCACCTTTCGAAAAAATCAAAAGCTTTGCTGTTATAGGCCAGTAGTAAGATCAGATACTTCTTGGTGTAACTGTGAAGAAAAACACTCTACCCTCCGAAATCACTCTTTTGCTGCAAAGCACAGAAGTTCTTCAAAGTAATACTTGCACAGTGCTGTATTCTTTTGGGGCGCAAAGATCTCTTAATTGGGTAGAGCATGCGCCTGCTTCAGAAATCACAAATATTATATTACTTGCTCTTGTAGCTAGAACTATTATTCCACTAAGAGAAGGGTGATTTTTATATATTATTTTTTTAGTATGCATTTGACTTTTGGCAGTGCTCTCCTGGAATATAAAATGCCAAGTTGGCAGCTTTCAGACAGGGAAATTTCAGTAAGTTGGGATGGTCTCTTTGGGCTCATATTTCTTGCAGTTCTTTTTCCATGTGCCTGTGACCCTGACTTACCAGCAACAGCTCTTACCTACAGCTTTGTTTCTTATTTTATGTTTTATTAACTCCAGTTTTTCAACTCTACCATCATTTTACCCTTCAGGAATTCATTGTAAAGCTCTGTCAGCCTTGTCTTTTCCTGAAATGTGTGACACACTCATGGTGGTAGGTTCTAATATGTGCACCAAAAGCTCAGAATTTTTGACTCTCATAGTGTCAGGCTGTCCTACGCTGTGGGCTACAGAAGTCCAGATTTGCTGGCAGACACATTCCTCGCGCTCACTCCCCACAACCCTGGTTAGGTTACGATAACGAACATTTTGCATTAAAAAATTCCCTAACAATTCCCTTACTGACAGTGGTATTTTAAAGAATTAGGCTGCTCTAGAGACAACTCAATTAAGAGTTGATTTTAGCTGATAATAAAATACCTCTTGAAGTCCTCAGGACTAGACACTTAAAATCAGGAGTGATAAAACCCTCTCTGTGATGATGAGTAAAGGAGATAAAGTTTGCAATTCTGATAAATGACTTACAAGAATCAAGACTCAGTGCAGGTAACTAATTACAGTTCAATGGTGAAAGGGTGAGCAGCGTGAATTTCCTGCACTGTTTCTTTACCCGTTATTACTGCGTGACTAAGAACAGTTCTGTTTAACAGCCTCGTTGGAACGCTCGCTTCCATGAACACGGTGTTGGCACAGGGTCACAACAGCTGCTGCCTGAAGAATATATCAGAGATGACAGACCAAGAGCACCTACCTTCCATTGACAGCAAAACACAGTTGACATATTCCATGCAACACTGCTGTGGCGTTTTGCAGAAAAGTTGCTATTTTGGGATTCTCATCAACAGGGCCTTGAACGGAGAGGAAACAGCAACACAGCTTGTCTATCAATCCTATGTTCACCACGTAACTAGAAAAAGGGGAAAAATTGTATTAAAAAAATAGTCCCATGCCAGTTTTGGAAACTCTGCAAAGGAAGCAATTTCTGCTTCTCTACTACCAAACCATAGAAAGTGTAGACTGTGATTACTTAAAAACTCTTTCTGAAGGGTTCAATAAAACAATTCAAATTACAATAACTTCAGATCTGGCTCTCTGTAACTATCAGTAGTTTTTGTTAAGAGATCTGTCTGGTGTAGGATAATTTGTATTATACTGTACAAGAAAGATGAGTGTAAATGTTTATTTTACCATACTCCTAGAAGGACAATGGAATTTTGCCATAGTTAAATGATTTATAACAATCTTGATAGCTCTGCAGCAGCACAATTTCTTTTTAGCATGAAGAGATAAACTTTGTAGAACACACTAATTCAAGAAGACAATGATGTTACCCAGATAACGTTTTATTGCAATCCGTATATCATAACAACTACTGCCCCAGTTGTTGGGGTTTTTTCCTTTTTAAAATACATGCAGCAGTTAAGAGACTAATAGAACATGCAGGTAACAACCTTCCACCATCAGTATATATGTCCTGGTTCTGGCTAGGATAGAGTTAATTTTCATGAGGCTATCCTAGCCAGAACCAGGACAGTATAGAAGGATCAGGATCAGAAAGCCGCCTCAGGAGCTCAACCAAAACTCAGTGCAGAAAAAAGCATGCTAGTGACTCGGGTTTTTTTTGAACTGAAAACTCGACTTTCTTATTATCAGAGTAGATCAGATCATTGCTGATCATCAGATCACTGCTGCTGAAGTTTCTTCTTTGAATTTCTAAGAGCTTGGAAACCTATGCCTAAAAATTTGCTGTTTGTCCCTCTACGAGGACCTGTCTGTCCATACCAGGTTCTCTCATACTGTGATCATTATCAACGCCACATAAACTGTGCACACAGATAAATTTTTTATAGTAATTTTTACCACAAACATTCAGCTTCTCAGAATTTTCTCCGTCTCAACTGTTCATTCTTGCTGACTTATGTGAGATCAACTTCCTTTGTGAAGACAAATATCCTGCTGCAATCACCTCCTTCTCTTTCCCTCTAATTTTCTCTGTACTTTCCTCCACTCTTGTCGAGTGGGAGAAAAATCAGAAGAACTGCCATTATATCCTGTGCCTCCACCTCACTTAACAGACATGGGGAACCGATTGCTTTCAGACACCATCAACTCATTCACTGTTTTTACACTGATAGTCTACACGAAACCATTCTGTTATTAATATTACTCCATCCTACCAGCTGTTCTGTCCACTCACTTGTCGGGTCCTTTTGTTTGAGATTACCTCTGATAGCATAGGCTCCTTGAGATGGGAACGCCACTGGCTGCACATTTCCATAATGTCAAGACAACCCAGACTTGACTGAGTATGCAACATTATTAAATAACATTGATTCTAGTAAACAAACAATACTGATTAGATAACGCTTGTCACAGGAGCTGTACAAGTATTTACTAAAAATAACTATCCCCTCACATGTCTTACAGTCTGATTTTGAAAAAAACAGGGAATTTTACGATTAGGGAAGAAAACCTCTCCACTTTTCAGACAGTGTTGTTGCTCAAAGACTAATCTCTCTTCAGGGCTAGAAGCTAGACTTTCTGCCAAAGTTTACCCTGCTGACACAAAGCTTTTGGAAGCAATGACGGTAATTAAGAATAAAAATACACTGGATATACAGCAAGAAGTCTAACTACAGCAGAAAAAATTTTTAAAGCTGCTAAAGTATAACAGTTAAACACACTTGAAGATTCACAGAGGTTATTAATTGCACACTCGTTGCTCAGGTAAGTTTGTCTGTTCTATCTAGCAACATGAAAGGTTGCCAGCATTAGGTTTCTTGCAGATTTTGATCTAAGCAATCCACCTGATCATACAGGTGATAAGCAAACTCTCCTGTATTAGCAGAATAATTCCAGGAACAGAGCTGGGTGTTAGATACATCACAGTCACAGAGAAATGCTGAGCGCTAGAAACCTCTCTGTGAAATAGGAGGGGAAGAACTCAGTAATATACAGCTAATACCGATAGATGATTATTCACAAAAAGGCCCAATATTCTCTTCCTTTTTCCCTAGGAACATCTCTGCAATCTGACTGCCACCTGCAAAATGTGTTCATTGTCCAGCTTCCTTTACACCCACACCTGGATACAAAGCAGCTGCTCTTTTGGCAGAGAAGAAATGGATGAGAGTTTTCAGTCTACTGGGACTACTCTTTAATGGCAGCTGGAGACAATGAGAAGCTTCATGAAGCACTCCCTTCCTTGAAGGACTGAGTGTACGGACAAGTGGAATGTCAAAGATGTCTAATCTATTGCCTCCATCTCTAAGTCTTTTTACCTAAGGTAGCATAGTTCTAATAATTTGGCTACCCTTTTGATACCCAGACAGTGTGTAGGTAATTGTTGTTTAGGCAGCAGGTCTACCTGTCCCAAATAGCAAAAAAAAAAAAATAAAAAAAAAAATCCCTTTTATTTTGACTTTCCTCTTTCTTCCCCCATCTTCCTAAAACTCTCATTTAATCAACTCCACAAGGACATACGATACAATGACCTGGAGGTGAAAAATTCTCATTAATAATAGAATTTGTCTGGTTTTGACTAGTTTAAAATGCCCTCTCTCTTTTTTTTTTCCCCCTAATTGCACTATTACCTTGTCATCGTGCCTTTCATTCCCCATTTATAACCAGATCCCCTAAAGTGCCTCAGGTGAGGGACCTAGTTGGATTCTCATGTATCTTCTTATCTTAAGGGTATGCCTGTGCTTGGCCCAGTCAGTGTCAGATGTCTGTTCAGCACAAATATCAATAAGCAGACCTCCCACCCTCCCATTCATAAACGGGGAGAATACAACATCCT